AAATAATATAATTTTCTCTTAAAAATTAGAATGGATCACAATTTAATTTATTTTACATTTTCTTGTAAAGTATTATTAAACACTTGTTTATTATTTATTATTTGCCAAAATACTCTTTTTAATAAATTCTATTATTTCTTTGTTAATATTTCAAGAAGCTCAATCAGTTTGATGTATTTTTTTATGTAACAATAAATACTTATCATTATTATAAAAGTTTTTCAGTTTTGTTTTGAAATCAAATAATAAAAAAAATTAAAATTTTAAAACATATTTTAACCATTTTATTGATACAAGTTATTAGGCTGAATTTAAATACATATAAATAATAATATTTAATTAAAAATATACTATTTATTATACTTTTATATTTTAAAATAAAAAGTATAATAAATAGGGTTTAGGGTTTAGGGTTTATAACTTTTAATTATTTATCTTCAAATTAAATTTTTATGAAAATAAATTTTTATTTTTTTTTATAATCATAATACTCTTTCATTACGTTTTCCAGTATGTTTTACAGCATGTGCCTCAAGCTAGCAAGGGAGGGAAAAGTCAACCAGACAACAACAAAAATGGGAGAAATTATTATATTTTTTTTATACAATATTTAAAAATATTATACATAGAAATATAAAATTTTAAAATTATAAAAATATAAGAATTCAGAAATCTTTATTGATGATTTTTATATAAATCTAGTTAAACAAAATTAGTTAATTTTATGAACTAAAAAATCATTAATAATATTTTAAATTTAATTAATTTTATCTAAAAGTTGTTAATAACAATTTTAGTTCTCATACTTTTATTATTTTTTAAATAATTCTATATTAGTTTCAGTATTTTCAGATCTCATGTAAAAAAATTATCCAATTATGAGTGGACTTCCATGTTATTAAATGCTAAGACATCAAAATATGAACAAAGAAACATGTTTTTTTTGCTTTAAGTTTGTTTTCAATTGATTTTTTAATTTTAATTATTGATATTTATTTTTAATTTAAATAAAATTATTACCTAAAACCTTATCTAGTAATTAACAAAATTATAATGAATATGTGACATATTATTTAATTATATAAATTAATAAATAAATATGTATAAAATATTTATAAGGCGATTTGTGATTCATACTTTATAAATAAATATTCTTATTTATAAGATAATTTGTGATTCAATAATGGCGTAAAATATTGCCACATTGTCATTACATTTTAATTAAATTTTATATTGAAATGTGAAAAAAGTTTGAATATAGACTACTATTTCAGTTTATTGAATTATTGTAGACTAAAAGTATAATATAAGATCTTATAATTAATACTTGATAAATAAGCAGATATATTTAAGTTTGGAGAATATAAAAATATTTAATATTTTTGTTATTTTATTAATAAAAAGATGTTGGAGTTACACTTAAAACTATTTCAACTCAAATTATAGTTAGCATGCCAAAATTTTGATTTAAAGCCCACATTTACACCAGATCATCAATTACTTAATATGGACCATGAAAACTTTTGTTCGTCAACGTAATTTACCTTAATAGGATAAAGTGATAAAGTTGCGTCTTGAACTTAGATTGTACGAATAGAAGTCATATTAATCACCTCAAGTTTTCCCAGATTTGAGGTAGAAATTATCACTAAAACCCAAAGGAAAAAATTGTATCAGTTCATGAGAATAGTAATCTTAGAGGTAACTGATGCGAGAGAGAGAGAGAGAGATAGAGAGACAGTACATGCAGAAGCCTGGTTGTGGAGTGGTTAAATAGCAAAGCAGTTCGTGCTTTCAGTCGCAAAGATGTTTCATCACGTTTGATATGCAAAGCAAAATCAAGCATACTTCTTACTTTTCTTTTTTCTTTTCTCCTTTATTTGAATTTAAAACAAGTAAGATTCGTTGCTAATTAATGCTGTTTTTCTCTTGCCCGTATTAATACTATCGGTTGATTGCAATCGTTTCTGTTTTGTTCATTAAAATCATTAGAAAAGACATCATAAAATCAAAATTCTAATCGAAAAGGACTAAAGATAAATATGCCTTCAAAGTAGCTGTAGCTTTAAGATTTATTAGTATATTTCTTTTGTATTTTGCTAACCTTAATTTTTTTTAAAAATTTTATTAACCTCAATTCTAAGAATTGAGTTTAAGTATCTACAAATAAAAATTTTTATAAAAAAATAATTATTATATTAAAACTATAAAAATACAATAAATATTTCTCATTTTAATAAAATTCTATTTCTTTTTAATTTGATTCTCCTTCTCACTTTAATCAGTATTGAGTAAACTTCTATTTTAATATTGAAATTATAAACTCTGATTATTTAAAATTTAATTTATAAAAATATTATTTTAGTTTTATTTAATTTCATTTTATATTAAAAATATTAAAATAAAATTTACTCAATCACTTATCTTTTATGCCATGCAGGGAACAAATGTGAAAGTGGACCCGCGCATTGAGTAAGACTCCATTGTCTAGGATGTCAGAGATCCAATAAATGTCTGAAATTGGTGGTGCATTGAAGTGCTGACCTCTTTATTATCCTCTGCATATTTTTCAGATCTGAATTTATTTGTATTTATTATAATGTTTAAAATGTTGTATATAAATATCATAACCTATGTGTATACTTCGCGAATGAAAATATATGACACTCTGACACTCTTCTTATTTCAAATGTCGGAGCATTGAATTTGTGTCTAACAACAATATTGTTTGAGTGTCGAAATATCAGATACTTATCCGACATCAACTGTCGTTCTACATTTGTTTAACATTTATTGGACACTCTTCTTTAGGAGATGTTCACTTAAAACATTATTTTTTATTAGCTCAAACATTTTAGCCAACACACTCAGACATTTTAATCGATAAATTAATAAGATAAAAATTCTATAATACTAGTATTATAAAAAAAATATTAATTTTAATTTTTAAGCTTGAGTTTAAATATTAGTAAATTTTTATTAAAAATAAAACACTATTTATATCTTAATATATTTAGTGTAATACTTTTTTATAATAAAAATTTACTATATTTAAATGTTTAAAGACTGAAATGTAAAATAAAATATTAAAAAGCCTATTGTCATAAGAAGGTAAAACAAATAAGAAAATACAAGTTAACATTTAAAACTTTTTGCTATGAAGCTTATATTAATTTGATTTGATTATGTGTGTGTATAGTGGTGTCTTGATGTCCTATATATTTCACATTAACTGTGTCGAAGGGTTGGTGTCTATATCTCAACCTGTGTCTATTTTAAATATCTTTATGGTATTGGAAATCCCTTTTGTTTGTTAGCTTTAGATACTCGTAGCCTCTTCATCCTCTGCTTCACAGAGATTTCATTGACTGACATATCAGAGCACCAACTAGCGCTTGAAATTGGTGGCCTTGGAGTCCTGACCTCCTTCTTATCCTTTTCTAATGCATAGGATAGTTTTGAGTTTTAAGTTTATATGTATTTATTATCATGTTTAAATGTATGTTGTATATAACCATCATCACTTACGTATACACTTGAAGAATGAATGAAAATCATTCTATTCTAAATATCTTTATGGTATAGGAAAGCCCTTTGCTTCATTAGCTTGATTCTCAGTGCCTCATCATCTTCTACTGAAAGGTCTGTCTCCTATTCCGCTAATCCTAGGGACGCCTTTGAGCTCAACACCACACCATTTTATCATGCATGATACAAATAGCTTCTTATTTCTCCTCATTTCCCCCTTAACTTATCCTTTCTTTATGTATAGTATAATTTGGAGTTCTGAATTTATTTATTTATTTGTAGTTTTGAATTTAAATAAAACCATTCTGATGTTCTATTTTAAATCTCTTTAATAAACACGAACAAATAGTGTTTGTTTTTACACAAAAGTGGGGGCACAGACCCACTTGTAATTAAAGTGGGTACCGGAGAACAGAAGGGGGGTGGAGTATCCAAATAGTCAGGCTAGTGGCTGTACGTATGAAAAGCACAAAGAAACAACCTTGCTTAAAAAGGCTTAATGCCACCAGCTACGAAGTGGACCTGAGTGCTTACCACACTTTGAATTCTTGACCTTAGACCAAACTTTTAACACATTACAGTGGAAAGCAATACTAATAACGGAGGATATGATTATTATGCTTGTGTTAATCATCCTTCATGTGTCACCCTCGACTATTGGCTCATTGGACTATATTCAATAATGCAGCTGAATAATTCACAACCCTTTTTATCCAGATCTTTTAGAATATTTCATCCTCTTCCATTCACTCCCCCAAGAAAAAAACAAATTAGTATACCTAAAATTTACAGAAATATACAAATAAAAAAGATATTTGTTAGTCCAATATAGGAATTTTACGTCCAATTGGTGCTATCACATGGTCAGATAAGCTAACTCATGAATTCTAATTATACTTTAAAAATAAATAAACAAGTCATTTGTAAGACCATTGCTTTTCCTCCTCCTATAATAAAGTACGGAGAAATATTGTCTACAAAAAATATTTACTAAGTTGTGTTGTGGTGGGTATCATATTTAAAAATTATACTAACAAAAAGAAAATATGTAACAAGTTATAGAAAATATATATTATTATATATAATTTATTATTAAATAAAATTATTATTTAAATATGTATCTAAGTATTGTGAGTTGAAAATTTGTTTTGTACAGTGTAAAAGTTTTTTAAAGATACCGAATAATTTACTTTTCACCAATATTTCGCAAAATCAAGTTAAATGACACAAGAAATAATACAAAACAGTGAATGATATTATAAAAGCTATTCCATGATGAGTAACCCTCCAACTACGCAAAAGATAGAAATAATTGAAAGCAGACACCGACATTTTAAAGAATTGTAAGGATGAAGTACGTTGATTACTGTGACTCCCCACTTGGTTACGTAAAATAATAGAGCTCCTATATATATTATATTATGTACGTATAATGTATTAATGTATACTAATTTTTTAAGCACTAATCAATTATATACCACAGCGTTCTATATAAACACGAGCCTTCAGTGGTGCACCGGTGTGCTATTTCTTTCTTGTGGCTCAAGAAATAGGTTAGTTTCGAGCTGAAACAAGATGGACAGCGATAAACAAAAACTGTTCAACAGAATGAAGCCATTCATAGGTGTTGTGTTCTTACAGTTTGGATATGCTGGTATGGATATTCTATCTAAGGCTGCACTGAACAAGGGAATGAGCAACTATGTACTTGTCGTGTACCGTCATGTTTTTGCCTTCGTTGTCATGGCTCCTTTTGCATTGATCTTGGAGAAGTACATTTCTCTCTCTCCCCTGTGTGTGTGATTGTGCGTGAACATGATATTTAAGTAGTGCTATATTATTTTAACAGGAAAGTAAGGCCCAAGATGACATTTTCAATCTTCATGAAGATAGTTGCCCTCAGCTTTCTAGAGTAAGTTCCTGCATGCCTAGACACATTCTCCTAACCATGGAATACATAATAGTACACTCACTTCTGATATTGTTTTTCTTAATGGCAGGCCGGTTATTGACCAGAATTTATATTTTTTGGGAATGAAGTACACCACAGCAACCTTTGCCGTTTCCATGTACAATGTCCTTCCTGCCATTACCTTTGTCATGGCTTTCATTCTTAGGTAATGTTTTCAGTTTTCACTCCCTGCGATAAAAGAATATTGCAGATTTTGGTATTAAATACGTGCACACAACTTAAGTGAACTTAACGATATATATTTTCTAATATATTTGCTTACTTTGCTAGAAAAATATTTAACTACCCAATTGATGCTGAAATATTCAGATTCTTTAATGACTGTAACCGGATGCATTCGGGTCCACTAAAATATTTTTTTGTCAAACCCAAAAACATATTACATGAAGTGTTAATCTCTTATTTTGGATTGAACCCGTAAAAGAGTTCCTTATGCCATTTTTAAGAAATTTATCTAAAATTTAAGTGACAATCCCAGGCTTGAGAAGATAAAAATAAAAAGTAGACGCAGTCAAGCAAAGGTGGTCGGCACTTTAGCCACTGTTGCAGGTGCCATGGTCATGACACTAATAAAAGGCCCAGTACTTAATCTTTTTGGAATACACGGAAGCAATCCCCACAACCCGCAACATGGTGGGGTAAATCTCCAACATGCGATAAAGGGATCAGTGATGATTACAATTGGCTGCTTTAGTTGTGCATGTTTCATGATTCTCCAAGTGAGCTATTATCTATCGCTATTGATAAAATAATAGATCCCAATAACATTTTTTTGTCTTTCTAAGTTCATGGGATCACTAATACAGTCTAATCTCTTTCTCTAGGCTCTTACCATTGAAGCCTACCCTGCTGAGCTCTCTCTTACAGCATGGATATGCCTATTTGGAACTGTTGAAGGTGGCATAGTGGCCCTGATTATGGAAAGGAGAAACCTTTCGGTTTGGTCTCTGAAATGGGATACAAAACTGCTTGCTGCTGTCTACAGTGTAGGTTATTTACTTTTATGGTGAACACAACCACCACCACTTGACCAGACTTAAGAAAAAACGCACATCTACCACTGAGTTTAAGAAGAAAATCCTAAAAAGTCGTACTAATACCACACAGACATCCAAAGCCTAGTCTAAGTTTCAAAGGCATTGAACAAGATATTATAACAAAGAGGATGAATTGACGTAATTGGTCACTATAGACGGTTCACCATATCAGCATTGCCATTCATAAATCATACATTAACCCTTGACACGATGTGATTAATTTTAAAAGAGAATTTATAAATGCCACCATATTGGGACCATCCTATCCGAAGTGTCAATTTTAGATATACTTTAAATAACAACAAAGAGATTTGTAAATAAACTAGTTATGCTGTTAGAAGAAATAAAATAACTATTTTTTCTTCTATAATAAATTTACAAAATATTGTCATGCAGGGCATAGTTTGCTCAGGAATGGCTTATTACATCCAAGGAGCAGTGATGAAAACTAGAGGCCCCGTCTTTGTAACAACTTTTAATCCCCTCTGCATGGTCATTGTGGCTATCATGGGCTCCTTCTTTCTGGCTGAACAAATTTCCCTTGGGAGGTAATTGGAAAAATCGAGTGCAAACCAACAAAACAGATGGCCATAAAACTATATGAAAACATTAAAAAATGAAACTAAAGAAATCTATGAATTTTACAGGGTCATCGGAGCTATTGTAATTATTTTAGGGCTGTATCTTGTGGTGTGGGGCAAAAGCAATGACTACGAGTCACCATGTCCAACTACCAAAGAACATACATTGCCAGACAAGCAAACCGTAGATGAGAGCAACAGCATAGAGGAGCATTCTAATCACGAGGTCATCAGTCTCAGTAACTTAGGTGCGGGAAACATAGCTCGAGATGAACAAGTATAAGGAGACGTACTAAATTCAATATAAATTTCGGTAATCAGGGATATTTCACCTTCAATGCACTGTTTCCTAACAACAGAAACTAGATAGGTTCCTAGCAGTTTGATCCTTCAATTATGATGTAATAGAAGACGTTTTTAATATAACACTATGGTATGTCAACAAGGCAAGAAAATCCCAGCAAAAGATGACGGTGCAACTTCGATCATATACATTATGTTGATGGAGCATGATATCAAGTATTAATCACAATAGCTAGAAATTTCAGAGGTTGGCGATATAGTCCGAACGGTCATTCGTCAATTAATTTAGATGACACCATCGAATTAGCAAGTGCATCTAATATTAATACGAATTTCCTTTTCAATTCAGCATAAAGAAATAGTAAAAGGTTCATCACCTCAAGATTCTATTGCTGCACCATCCTAGAGAGTCAAAGAGACATAGTATAATGGGGCCCACTTACCCATTATTCCCATATCTCTTTATATCTGCTGCTGGATTGTGCAGTGTCCATGGCTCAACAGGCAAAGATAATACTAAAAAACAGGGTTAGATGAAAAACGTTTCCTATCTAATGGGAACACAGCACTCAAAAAACAATAGAGATGGAAGATAGACCAAGGTCTTTTATCTTTCAAAGGGTACAAAGAACTCCATCGCACATAAAACTGAGAACACACACCAGAAGACTTAATATCAAAATCAAATATTTTCCATGAAATTTATTGATTACTTACCGCCATCGCACATGCAATTAGTGATACGTATGTTACATTTTGTTTTGCAAGTTCCCTCTATTATCGCCAAGGATGACTTGACCTCAACTGAGGAAATATTCATATCACCTACGTTGTTGTTAGTTAGTCAGTAAAGGTGTATCCAAATGATTTACTCCAACGTCCAACCACCAAACAACCATCTTTCCAACTCAACTTACACAATACTCCCATGTGACAAATGCTTCACATCGCATTTTCCATATATGCACTGGTGTTCCAGTGTGTCAACGAAAAAGGAATCTGAAAAGGAGATAGAAAGAAGAGAGTGTCAGAACTCCGAGGGAAGACACTTTTAAGTGAAAAAAAAAGGATTTTGCATCAACCCAAGAAAGATATAAAGCTAATAAAAAATATTAATTAAACGGGATTACCTTTTCAAATTTAGAAGGATTTTTTATTGGCAGGTGAACCAATTATTGTCCGAATCACTTTAAATAACATATTCTGTGAGTACTCATGATTTATTGTACTACCCTCTGCGGAGTTTTCTCATTACTGATAAATGTGATTATTCAGGTGTTTAGTCTTGCAACCAGCACTCATGCAGTAATAAGCAAGAGATACGTAACATAAGTCAGAAGCAGCAATTTAGCTAAAAAATAATTCTATAATCACGATCAGGATAACAAACTTGCCTTTCGAAAAATTGCATGACTCGCAGCTGCATAAATACCCAGAACCTTCCATGACACCTCCACTGCAAAAAAAATAAAAAATTACTAACTCGTTAAATTTTAAGATTAACAATAATTTTAATTGTCTTTAAATTTTATTTTAGTAATTATCAAACTAACATTAAAATTGGCTACAATAAAATTAAATTTATGACGATTTTAAAGTTTACTTCCACACTTCTATTCAGTCTTTATCTTCTATTCATCTTTTTCTTTTACTTTTTAAATTCACATTACATTTATTTTTTAACATCACAACATATATGTTATATAATTTATAGTGTAAAGTTATTGAAGGATAATTATTTTTAAAAAAAGTGAAAAAGATAGTAGAAGATTATCAATTTGTCACAGTTAGAGAAGACATTTTGACAGTAGTGACAATAATAGTGATGGTGTCAATGGTAGAGAAGAGAGTGGCGGTAGAACTCAATGAGGATAAAGTAGAAGTAAAAGGGTAGCTTTGAGTGAGTGATGGAGAATGGATGGGAGTGGAGTGGTGTTTCTTATATTATGTTATTGCAAAATAATGCTAAATTTCACATTTTTTTTATAGCAGTTACACAAAAATGTCCTCTAAATTCTGCAATTTTGCAAGGTTACATAAAACTACCACTAAATTTTGTATTTTTTGATGCAGTTATTAAAACTGCCATTGATGAATCGACACTATAGGACACATTTTTTGTAGTGCTCGAAGTTCATTCTAGCAAGCATAGGAACAACCACACAAGTGATTAAGGTTAAGCTACTGTCCAAGATTAATTCATGAATACAAAAATTTACCTCTCATCACCAGGACTTATACTTTACAGGGACTCCATCCAGAGACTACTAGAGAGGAAACTTCTGACATTTGAAGGGAAGTTGTTACTTGTTTGAATGGGACTTCTTAGACATTATATCTCGTTTTTTATCTTGGAAAAATTTTGAGGTACAGAAGCAAATGTCCGGGCATAACTTCTGAGGGAATTAGAATTAGATTTAACCAACTGTTTGTCATTCAGAGCAGGAAATGAGTTTTCCAGAGGGACATGTGATCTTTCGACATAGAATAGCCATCTGCTTTGTTGTAATTTATATCCCTTTATTCAACCTTTTTAAATCCTTTATCAATTGATATTGTATCACAAATCTCTCTGTATCTTTGACCTGTAGATAAGTTGTCATTCCCTTGTTAGAAGATGTGGATAAAACTTATTGATGTGGAATTATCATCACCCTTGCAAGCATGAGTTTGACTGGGTTGTTTATTATCCTCTCATAGCGATTATTTGTAAGAACAGATACGACATTCTCAGATTCCTTCACCTCAATAGCTTTAACTTTTCTGATTCCACCATAATTAGAAACTGATCTATGATCTTCTAATGTGGTGGATATGTATGAACCAAATGAAGAATCACTCTCAAAAGGTACTTCATCATTTTTCTCTGGACTCAAGATATCAACACTAACAGAGGAAACTTTTCTGTTTTCAGATTTCATAGTCCTTGTTGCTGCGTCTGGGTCAAATAATTGTCTAGTAAAGCGACTAGTCAACAATTGAAAACATGAAAATTTCCCGGAGAAATATTTGTGCTGAGAATTCCAGGCAAGAAATTGTTGAGAACTTGCATTAAGAGGACATTTGGATAGATTCTAGGAGAGATTCCCCATGCCTTCAAGTGTCTATTATGCTAACACTCAGGATTCTTTGCAAACAAAATTGCCTGATTGTGGAAAGATTGTTGAAGCAAATTCCTCAGAACGACGCCCTTAAAAAGAATTCTAAGAGAAAAATGCTAATTCTATATCTGTGCTTTAGAGAAACTACGATTTAGTTGAGTTAGAAATAGCTTTAAAAAGAAGTTCTGGTTGTCAGTTAACAGAGCTAGAGTTCAATCATGGCTTCATGTAACAGTCAACTATTTAGTTGAGTTAGTTGACCACGCTGTTGGGTAAAAACAGAAAAGAGAGAGTAGTCCTCTCTTTTTTTCTATCTTTAAACCAATAAAATTTTATACTACACATTACATATTATATTTACTGTAGCAAGTGAACACAAAATAAACTTCTTATTTATAATATTTTGTACCCATTTTTTCTTATGAATTACTTTGATCCAAAAAATTCTCCCTTCTTTAAGTTTCACATTTCTTCAATTTGTGAGTAATTTTTCTCTTTATTTCTTGTTGCAATCCTCTTTTCTGGTAGAATTCTTTAACTAATAAGATTTTTTTAAAACTTGTAAAATGAATAAGTTTTTATCAACTGTTTCTCTTTTGTTTTCCTTCATCTTTCACTAAAATCTTGCTCTGATATAAACACTTAGATGAATCTTAAGTTTTGATACCACTGTTACAGGCGATAACAACGCAATAATAAAGCCATTGTAAACATGGCAAAAATTAATCTCCAAATTTGAAAATTCTAGGAAGAGTAATAATAAAAAAAATTAAACTTCAAGATTTTTAACATGAAAAATCCTTTCAATATAAGAATTAAGAAAATGAAAAATACTCTAAAAAACAAAGCAATTGTGCAAAAATAATATTCCGTGACTAAGAACTACATGTCACCAATATGCTCAATAAATTTAAGCCCTATGAACAAATCTGCGGTAGCGATTTTACAGTGACAGTTTTATAGCGACTACCTTGGGTTTGAGCGTGAAAATCTTCTCTCCTTTCTTTGTGTTACTCTTTCTTGACAGAAGGACTTCACTCTTACCCTCTTTTCACTCGTCTCCACTTACTCAATAACACATGGTCATATATATCTTATAAATGCATGTACACCTATATCAATCGTGTTGAACAATGGATTTGCCTTTTATCGCATCATCTGATTCCCAATGAAACAAAAACATATAACAGAAAAGTCAAGCAGGTCATTTTTCCCATTCGAGTTTATCACATTCAAAAAGCCTTGATCCACTCGAAATTCAAACATCAGAATGTTCAACAGCACAAAGCTTCGGGCACACAAACAAATACAAAGATGCAAAGTGCGTATCGCAAACTACCACAATTACGAAGTTCAAACGAAGCAATTGCACGTAAAAACCAATGGGCGTACAAAAATCACCTTGAAAATTTAAATTAAATCTAAAATCAGATATCACTGGTGAAAACGCCTAGCAGGCTCATATGTCTAAGAAACAGGGGAGAGTCAAAATACATAATCGGTTTCATTGAGGCGGGAAAAAATAAAAGGTGGTAACACCGCACGATCGCAGAGTAGAACGCCATCTGAACCGTACATGTGGTAAAGCCAAGTTCATTGTATTGAAATTGAAATGAGTTCCTTCATCGAGATTTTGTTATTATGTGAATGAAATATTATGTATTTACTGGTTTAGATTCATAATTATTAATGCTTATTTCTTCAAGTAATTTATTGCATAATTATTTTTTATAATTATTTTTAAAAATATATAAAGAAATTATTTTCTTTTTCAAAACGACTCTAAACTCTCCTGAGATGTTACCTAATTACGGTAGTATCGTTTTTGCTACGATATTGTAAGTTTATGGCAACTGCCATACAATGGTAAGTAATACACGTGCAGACTGGCATCTTCAATCAGTCATCTATTTTATATGAATAAAAGTTGGGAATTGTATTAAAAAATATCTATAATCAAACAATAATCATTCTTACGATTGCAATTTAAAATTTACAAATATAATCAATTAACATTTTTCGCTCCTTCAAAATTTGCTACATTTTGTAGCATATTGACAGCTATCCTAGTCACCGCAGGAGTTGTTGTGAATTCCAACAAAAGTCTCCTACCTAGTCCCAAAAAAACATACATGAGTTGTTAGGGTAAATGGATTATGATACTCAAAAGAGATGGATTCCGAAGTACTTTGTTTCCCTTCTTGCAAGATCCGCCACCAGAAAAATCTTCTCCCTCTCCAATTTTTGTGGAATACATATGGTGTCTCATCATAATTACCCATCAAATCCCACACTAAACCGCGAGCTGCGGTTAATTGAAGGAAGGATTTATCAATTTGGAAAGTGCCTCTATCTGGGTACGGAGTCAATGCAACTTTGTGTCCTCGTTAGCAGTAAGAGCTGCTCTTCAACCTGCACTTTAGCAGCGCAACAAGTCGATGACAACGCAGCATTAGTCAACGGTTTTAAGGGGCAGGACCTGGGCATAGTGGCTGCCGAAGGAGCGAGATTCTTGCTTGTCATGTCCACTTGAACAGAGAATAGTGAATACACGGGCCTGTGATCCGAGAATTTTGATTCACCTCGAACATACCACATTTGATTGATCCCTTCCCCTTTCCACAGAATTCGATCGCACCTGTTTTCACATCCCACAGAAGCAAAACATCTATCTCAGTTACAATAAATCAGTAAGACTAAGAAAGTATCATTTAGTACAACCATAATTAGTATATAATATTATAATAATAATCCTAATCAGTATTCTAATTCGAAAAGGTGCCTCGTTAATGTGAGCACGAGACTAATGAAGCATGGTCGGTTTCCCAACGTGACATCACTTAATTTAAATATATGTTTGATGAAGAGGGGCTTCTCATTGGCAACAAATCAACGCAATTATTCAATGATAAAACCCGTATTTATTCTAATAAATATAAAATGCTTATTGAATCATCGCATCATTAAACAGCAAAAACATATCATACGTCACGAGTGAGCCCCCTTTCAAAGCACATACGCCTCTAGTTGCTAAACAAATGCAAATGGCATTACTAATAGCGACCTCAGCATATGAAAATGTTCAATTAATATGGTTTGAATTCAAATGGATAAAGCCCTCATCTGACCATGCCATAACAAAGCGCATAAACAATTATCAAATTAATGTTTCAAGAGACGTGCGCCCTTTGTGGATGACAAAACGTAAAATAAACTTCAGATTAAAAAGGAATTTTCAAATCTTACCAAGCAGGGGTCCGTCGTTTTTCCTTAGATTTGAAGGTTTGGGCAACATAGTGGTCAGAATTGGTCAAGTATTTGTATGTGGGAGCAAAATATATGTTCCCTTCATTCCAACCTTCAAATACTCGTCCAGCTTTCTGCTCTATCCTTAGCTGCCCAGTAGAGTCAATGCAAATTGTGTCAGACCAAAGAGACGGACCATAAAGAACATGCTTTGTAAGAAACTGAAAAGACCAAAAATTAAAGAAAAAAAAAGCTATAAATATAAATCATAGCACACTTACCTGATCCTTCTCTAGTAATGCCTGCCAATTATTCTTCTTTAATAGTTCATGTGTATCATCGTAGCCAGCAGCAAGCCGATAATTTAAATCCCCAAGCCAAATGACATTACTATACATATACCCAAAAATTCATGAGAGAATCAGAATACGAAGTAAATGGTGGAAGAAAATAAAAATAAGATGAAAAAGTGTGTAAATAAAGGACGTACTCGTGTTCCAGTATGCTTTCAGGACGGAGTGGTTGACCAAGGGATTTAAACGAGTGAGAAAATTTAGTTTTCTTCAAGATTTCCGAGACGTCCATGTTTCTTCGCAACTCGTCACCAAATTTCTCCCCAGAGGCCAAGTGGGTGCAAACAAAGCAGAACGTGGTGTGGTGCAATGTCATGCTAATTGATGCTGAACCCTGTTAGCAAGCACCCCATAATTAAAATGTGAGCAATCAGAAGCATTTTCCGCGTTATTATATATCCTCTCAATGAAGTAAAAATTAACCAATTAATTTTACCCACTATAATTTGTGTAGGACTCGTTAATTTGACACTTATAACATTCTCGGTTAACTTACCACCCTAATATTGGACATGCAAAACTATAGAATAGAAGTGTAAAAGCAAATTGTAGCAACGAACCTTATTTCCAAGATAGCCCATGATGCCTCTGCCAACGCATGACACTTTCACATTGCTAATATGGTCGCAAAGATCAGTTCGTACCCACACGGACAAGAAGATACCTACCATTTGCTTGCTTGCAGCTAAGCAATAGCGTCGCGGACTCGTAGGAGACCTTTCTCCATTATCCAAATCGTCCTCTAAAGAGAGGAACTCCGAGAAACTGTGTCTACACTTGAGGTTTCCTTCTCGGTCATCTTCACGCCCTCTATTATTGGGATCGTCGTCGTTTTGATACTGTGAAATTTCATGGTCGCACTTGTTGCTGTTCAAGGCTTGACCAATAAGGGTCAACCATTTCGCTGCTGGACCACTGTCCTCCGGCCCAAGCACGTTCCCTGCATTTAGCGGTACAATTTCTTGGAACCTATCAATAATCATGCGTGAAAAATTAGACTTTTCCTGTTTTATCCCAAAACTAAAGTGCATAAAATGTTTATTTGAATATAATAGATACTATTTCCAATTATCAAGGGAAACTTCAAGCTGCCATAGTTACGCGTGAAACCATTTATACTTGTTCCAGTGACCAAAAGTATAAAGAGAAATCACCACAATTACAAAGAAATGTTAGTAACATTTAATGCTATTTTTCTGAGTGAAATTAGTTAAGAAATTTAAAAATAGAAAACTACAAACATTTCTAATACGAACTCACTATATATTATACACTGCTGTATGTAATACAGCAGTTTAAAGGAATGCTTTAGTCATTATTTAAAATTTCATTAATAAAGTTAGTTATTTTTAATCTATTTTAAATATTATTTTCTCACAAATTCATTATTTCTACTTTTATTAATATCATCAAAGAAAATATAATTAAGATAAGAATCAATCAAAGCTATAAAAATATCAATGCGATGCACATAGGATTTATTTGGTCAACGAAACAGGGTATTTGATGCATACTAAAATTATATATATATATATATATATAATTTTTATTTAAATATTCACATAAAATAAAGTATATTATATTTTATTAATTAAAATTCAATTTGAATAAATTTATATAATTTTTTATAAAAAATACAAATATAAAATTTATAAAATTCTTTTATAAGTTAAAATATATTATTTTCATTTACTTTTTAAAAAATATTTAAAATTTTCAAAATATAAGATGTATATTTATAAAAAAATATGTTTCTTTTTTATTTTATTCTTCTAAAAATATTCATACAAAAAATAATCTAAATTGATCTTAAATGCATATTAAAAATATAATGAAATAAAATTATTATATTATATTTTCTGTTCTACTAATAGACCCACAAAAGCGGGAACAGAGGGAAAAAAAGGAAACGGCGAAAATTACCCTTTATAGTCCTGACACATGAGGTCTGGGTTCAGTGAGTCATTGATAAGAGAGCCATAACAATTAGCCGATAAAAAAATAGTTTAAGGTTGCAAAAACTGGCAGTGTAATTATAGCAGCTTGTACTCGTCGAATATTTAATGCGGCTTCTCGTTGATGCATAAGAGTAAACAGAAGACAGATGGACACAATAGGAAATTAAGCAAAGTATATTCACATATTACTGAGAGAGTAATTGGAAAAAAGAAATGGAGAAAAAAATGCATACCCAATAACATAGATGTCAGCTGGTGAAGGAGACGTCAGCCAATTCCTCAAGTTCAGCCTTTGGTTCGGTGACTTCCCTCCGACATTCCACGTCCCCACGAACATCCTATAGTTATACAAACGAGTCATTCACACCAACACCACAACCCTCAAATCCATAATCATTTTCTCCAAAGTCAAGAACACTCCAGAATTCTTTTACCAAAATAAGTTCATACGACTTTTTTTTGGATAGCCACATACTTATTTCAACAATGGCCATGATGGATGTATTTACCTAAGGTCCAGAATATCACTCACAGGACTTGATTTCTTCCCAAGTGCTGATCGTTTCATTCCATTTGCAGCATCTCTCACCCACCCCTCTTTGAAAACAAAGCCAAAGTTATTTCAGCATCCATAAGCAAAGAGTACACAATAATAATAATGATAACAAACTGTGACTAACAAAAATATGTTATTAAAAATTATATTGAATTGTATTCAAAATCACAAAAAAAAAAAAAAGGTTTTGATTCTTTAAACAATGTTTTTAGGGTACTGATTAACATTTATAATCGCCCAATATCATGATTCTCAGAAAATCAACCGTCCACGTGGCAGGCCCATCGGAAATTATTTGGACTCAAACCAAGAGACGGGATTTTCCGGTTTGGCCTAATGATATTGACCAGCCGGTAATCTGATTCGACGGCGTAGACGCTGGTGAGACGGTGCTCGCAAATCACCTGAAAAATCCTCTGGACTTGATTCGACGAGGTAATGATCTCGGTCCGAACAGCTCTTTCTCCTCTCGTTCCCAGCTCCTGAGTCCCACATAGGCAACAAACTCCCACTTTCAACCCAAAACGTGAAAACGAAACGCAAATAAAAAACTAATGACACCATAACTGTTGAAGAATCGTGTTTCACCTGTTTCACAATTCTCTGAGCGAAATTTCTCAGTGCTGCTCTTTGCATTGAGCCACTTCTTCATGGCTAATTTCGGCCACAAAGGCTGCAACCCCAAAATGAATAAAAATGAATAAAATTAAATAAAATAAAGAATAGTTTCACTATCAGCAAGATTATTGCATACCTTGGATATCTTCTTCGATTCTGTTCTCATTGTTCCTCCACCTTCGATGACTTAAAACTGAGACAAAATTAGATAACAATGAAAGGATCAGATAAATCTATAAGGGTCAAGCATGTGGCAGCGACGTTTTAATAGCAAGATCCAGATTATCCAAATCCACTAGAGAATCTTTTTATATTTCAATTTGGAAATTTTGTACTAATAAGAGGAAGTCGTATATGGAAAATTTTAAATAAAATTACGTAGACCTAGATATTTATTTTTCTTTTCCAAGAAAATTATGTTAAATATTAATGATTAAAATCTTAAACTAGTGTCGAGCGGTTTTCAACGGCAATATAAAAGGTCTAGTTGCAGGGGAAACAGAGACAGCTTATGAGTCCCAAGAAAAAAAATTAAAAATATATATATTATATACAAGAGCAATAGATAAAAAGGCCGGGTTCATCGTTTTCTTTGAGGAACCCAACGTTTTGCGCTTTACAGATAAGAAAATAGCGAAGTGGTTTCTTTACTTTTTCTTAATCTTTAGGTTCGATCGGTAATCATCTTAAAGCAAAGATTGAGATCTCAATCTCAAACACCATCCATTGAAAAAGTGCACCTTTTCTTACTTTTCTCTTACAATAAAAAAAATAATCAACGAAGCAAGATTTGCACACAAAATGACTCGTTGAAATTCAAACCAATATAACTGGATTCAGAATCAGATTCCGCAAAGATTGCTTCGCTTTATTGCAAACATAGGAGACAACCAATACATAGAGAAAACGAAACGCAAGTTAACGGAACGTGGGTCAACGGCATTACTGAAAAGAGACTGTGCGGTGACGGTTTTGGAAGGTAAAAATAATAACCGAGCGAAGAACGGAAGAGGAAATGGGATAATAAACAGATCAAGCAGTCTATAAACAAGGGAGAGAAAATAGCACTTACATGAATCGACCAATGTTTCGGTTTACAGAGAACGATGTGGTGTTCAAAAGACAAGTTTATTTCTGTTCCCAGCTTCGATTCTTTCTTTTTCGTTTATGATGTAACGAAAGAGGGTAGCCCAAGGGAGAGAATAATGCAATATCAGAGTGTCCTACAACTTGCTTGTTTGTCTTGGTTTGGTGGAGTTGAGAAAGAATGTGGAGAAGGCAACTGGGGTGTTCCTCGGAAAAGCAAAAAGGGATTTGTGGTTGGCAAATTTATATGTGCACAGACATTTGAAACTCATGAAAGAATATAAAAAAAGTTGAAATGATTAAAAGATGATAATAAATAAATCGCTAAATATTCGTTTATTAGAAATATTTATCATAATGTATATCAATAATATTTATGATAAAAAATTATTATTAATATTTTTTGTTACTAATATTATTTTATACTTGTTACAATATTTCATAAGTTGGTTTATTTTAATGTTTTTTTAAACAAACTTTTAAACTATAAATATTTAAAGAAAAGATTCTGCTAGTTAGTATCTTTGTGGCATTAGTAGAAAAATAAGAAACATTTTTATCAAAAACTATATTAAAATATATTAATAGATAAAAATAATTATATCATTAAAATTTTTTTTAAACTTTAACTTGTATTCTAAAAATATTTATTAGATTTTTCACCAATTAAAATAACAAGTTTATTGTTGATTTGTCGTGATGGGTGGTCTGGCCTTTCTGAAATGGCAAGAGCAAAGATGTTAAAGTCACTATAGTAGTTAAAGCAATTGAACCACCAATCTTGGTCGTACACATGTCGTGGAAATGCTTATCCATGCGACCGTATCCCATCCAACGGTCAGGGAAAAATTTTTACCGGGTAAAGTCTTTGTCTCACTCATTATCCACGCATGGACAAGCACACAATATTTTTATAAATGACACTTTTTATTTTATAATTTAATTTTTCTATTTTAAAAATTATTAATTTAATTTAATTTAATTTTAATTAACATGATAAAAATATTTATTATTAATAATTAGGATTTTTTAAAATTTGCAAAGCATTTTAAATTTTTATCTAAAAATTATGTTAAATTAATTATAATCGTATAATGTATAAAAAAATTACTGACCTGTCTTAATATATAATTTGTGAGTCTTCGTTTTTAAATTATAATATTTTTATAAATTATTTCAAATAAAAACATTTTTAAATTTATTTTTTTAACATTGTGTCATGTGACATTTTATCTGTTTAACATCTAAATTTTTTAATTTTTATAATTTTAAACATTTAATTTATTTGATATAAAAATACTATTTGTCTATTTGGATGAGTAAAAATTAAAATAATTATTTATATAATATATAAATATATAAAATAATCTAAAAATTAGTTATTTATTGTGATCTATTTATGAATAAAAATATTTTTAGTTTTTACTTGATATAAAATTATTTAATAATTTAATTAAAAAAATCCATGCTTTTTCCTTTAACTTTATCCTAAATCAAGTTTTTTAAGTCAACCCAACGTTAAAAAAAAAATTTATGTTCCCTCCCTCCATTTAAATATACAAACCGTTTTTTTCTCTCTTACGAGTAAATATTACATTAGAATAGAAAAAGAAAAAGAAAATTGATGTGCCAAATACAACTAATAAAAACTCGACAATGTATTAAAATACATTATTTTCTGTTAAAAGTTAAATAAAAAATCAATGTCCACTAAATGAAAATAATTTATGAAAAAATATTTTTTATTTTAAATATTTATTTAAAAGTTTATATTAATTAAAAAATATATGTTAAAAAGATTAAATATTTATACTTCGTTCAGGGTAATAGAAAAAAATGAGAACGTAACAAGAAAGAATAAAAAAAAAAAAGAGAAAATATAGTTGTGTGGCAAGTAAAAAACATGAAAGAAGTTCAATAGAAGTTTCGTTTATTGCCTATTTGTCCCCTATAATGACAAGGTCTAATTGTTTGTAACAAATGATATTGTCAGTTTGTATAGGTTTATACTTGTATGTATTTTCTTAACTCAGATCAAAAGAATAAACAATATAGGATTATCATGAGTTGTTTTTCTTTTCTCTTTTACTATTCAAATATCTTTAAACAAAAAAGATTTTAAAAGTTGTATTTTTTATTTGTTCATTTATAAATATTTACTCACCAAAAAAAAGTATAACTTTAAAGGGAATGCTAAAAAAAGTGTTTTCACATGCTTCTTTAGAAGAAAAAAAAAAGTAAACAAAACTTGTACATTAAATAAAAAGCACATTTTCAACATTTTTATTATATTAAATAGTTTTTGTATATTTTTTTGTTACTCAATAAGGGACCTTATAATACTCATTAATAGGTTTATTAGACTCAAAAGTTATATTAGTTATTTTCATGTTTATAATGTTATTATTTTTTATTTAATAATTTCATAATAACCATTTGCTGATATTTCTAGGAGTTAAGATAGAGAGTTGAAATTTTTCTTAGCTTCACTCGGTGAGTTGTTTCACTTCCAATATTTTATTTTATTTAACAAACGTCTTAAATATATTAATTAATAAATATTTAATACATTCTATAAGTTATTTTTTCATTCTTTAAGTAATAATTAATTTTCAATATTTTCAACACAAGAAATAATATTTTTTTAATATTTGTTTTTGTTAATATTAATATTTTTTTGTTAATACAAAACCTTTTGTTAATCTAAAGATACGAGCATGATTTTTTTAGACAAATAAATAATTTTTCACAATTAATTGTTTTGACTTTTTTAAATAAGTACTCTTTCTGATTTTTTTTATAAGAAATAAAAGATTAAATCACTATAACTAAAGAAAATAATTAATTCTATTATATTTTTTATAAATATAAATTTTATTCCAAAAAATTCATGATATTAAATGGTATAGTTAATAATTTGTATATTTAATAATATTAATAAAATAAGAGTATAAAAAAAATTTAACAATTAATGCATATTGAATTTATAGTTTGTTTCTTATAATAAGGACTAAGAAAATATTCTATTTTATTTCTTATAAAAAAGAGTGAAATGTGTATTAAATAAAGTTTATTTT